TTCCTGTCGCCTCCTCCTCCTCCTCCTCCTCTTCCTCCTCCTCCTCCTTTTCTTCCTCCTCCTCCTCCTCCTCTTCCTCCCCTTCCTCCCGTTTGACTCCCCCACTTTGGCACACTCGCACGTTTCATGGCCCCATAGGGGGGGCCTCCACCGAAGGCCCCCGGGTGCTGCCGCCCGCGTGCGATGCCTTGCTTCTTCCGCGGCGCGCGCCCCCCCCGCCGAGAGACCTCCGGCGCTTCGGCAGGGTCGGGCGCTTCTGCTATCGGGGGCGTTTTGCCTTCGAGGCCGCCAAGCAACGGCTCGGGAGATGCCGAGTCTGTCCCGCGGCGGTGGTCGAGAGGCGTCGTGGGCTCGTGCCTCGAGAGGCAGCCGAGACGCCGGACGGCTGGGCCCAGACGTCCCGGCCCTCTCTCCTGGGGACCTCGGGCTGACAGCACCCCCACCCTGACTCGTCGATTGGTGAGTTGTCCGTTCTCGGTTCTCGAGGGGGCGCCGCGGCCGTCGTTTTCCAGGCCTTCGCCCGCCAGGTTTGGGCCCGAGGTCGTTTTCAGTAAGCCACGTTTTGCTACAGGTGGTTCTGTCCATCCCCGAACAGGCTTCACCTCCCGAGCCGTTTCCTGATGGCCCTGGAGCCCCGCGGGAGCGGGCGGAAGACCGCCGCCCTGAGTCTGTTTGTGCCACGCGCACAGGGGGTAGGGTTCAGTCGGGCGTGTCCCTCTACAGGAGGAGAATCCAGAAATAGTCAAGAAATAGTCAAAAATAGTCTGGGGCCGATTTTTCGATTATCATTCAATCGTTTTAATTACTAGTTTAGTTTTTCTTTCGAGATTCGCCCGTAGGAGGACAAGCCCGACCCAAGGGTAGGGGGAGGGGGGGAAGGCTTCTCAGAAGCACCCCTGCTCCTCAGAAGGCGCGGGCCCTGCCTATCGACGCACACACAGGCGGGCACCTTCTCAGAGGCAGCCTCCTCCCCCACTCCCCCCCCCCCCTCCTCCTCCTCCTCCTCCTCCTCCTCCTCCTCCTCCTCCTCCTCCTCCTCCTCCTCCTCCTCCTCCTCCATCCTCCTCTCCTCCTCCTCCCTCCTCCTCCTCATCCTCTTCCTCCCTCCTCCTCCTCCTCCTCCTCCTCCTCCTCCTCCTCCTCCTCCCTCCTCCTCCTCCTCCTCCTCCTCCCGCTCCCTCGAGCTACCACCTCGCGCGCGCCGCCCACTCCCGATGCCTACGCGCCCACCGGCACGCTCTCCGCCCCTGGCCCCGCCTCCCCCCCGAGGGCGCCCGCGGCACTCCCCCGCCGGCCCCGCCCCGGGGCCGGCCTGGCGCCAGGAGCGCCGGCGGGTCACAGTGCGCGCCCCGCTCTTCGGCTACACGTAAGAGTGGCCTTTCGCTCAGGAGCGACAAAAGGACGTACACGTACATGAATCCACGCTGGTTTCGAGAGTACGCATAGCGCAGATGTTCGTATAACGCGGCAGGTCTCGCGGATCGAGGGGCCGTGTTCATGTACATAGCTGGGCGCGTACGTCCTTTGTGGGCTCCCTGCAAGAGTGGCCTTTCGCCGGAGTGGCCTCTGGTGCGGGCTCATCGGGCTCCCCCCGATCGCCGAGTTGCGATGCGATGCGAGCGGCCCGCGCCCTTGGGTGTGGCTGCGCACCCAAGGTCGCTCTTGCCCAGGGTCGCTCTTACGCCCAGCCGATCTCTGCCCTGGCGGCCTGCGAGGGACTATCGAGGACTAAATGGCGCCAGGAGCATAGCTTCCAGGAGGCCTTCGTAGACGACGTCGACGACGTCGACGACGACGAAGACGTCGACGACGACGACGACGAGGACGAAGACGACGACGACGACGACGACGACGACGACGACGACGACGACGACGACGACGACGACGACGACGACGACGACGACGACGACGACGACGTGTTCTTAGTGCCCCTGCACTAAGATTGGTCGGCCACGCGTAGCCCAGACCCCCTCGGGCAGTGAGAAAAAGACATGCCGGGAGTCTCTTCGCGGTCTACGGCCTCCGGGGGCCCCTCGCCAGGGCCTCGGGGCCGTCAGGGAACGACTCTCAGGGGCAACGATAGGGGGGGATCGGCATGGGGGGGGATACATCGACCCCCAATCGCTCATTGGTCGCCGACAGGGGCCCGATGGCCCCAACCTGCCCAGGAGGGTGCGGACTCACTATCAGAGGCCTATCGCCGAGCTATCGGCGACGTACCGCCGATTCCAGGTCGACGCGTCCCCCCCCCCCCCCCCTAGGCCAGCCCCCCCGAAGTCGTTGCCCCTCAGGCTCAGGGTAAAAAGGCGGGTCCGGCGGGTTAACGGGTCTGCACCGCTGGGGGTCGCGTCGTGAAAGAAGCATGGCGTCGGGGGTCTGGGTCGGTCACGCGCAGAGGGGGGGTTAGGGAGGGAGGGAGGGAGGCAGGTGGAGGGGGAGGAGGAGGAGGAGGAGGAGGAGGAGGAGGGAGGAGGAGGAGGAGGAGGAGGAGGAGGAGGAGGAGGAGGAGGAGGAGGAGGAGGTGGAGGAGGAGGAGGGAGGGAGGGAAGGAGGGAGGGAGGGAGGGAGGGAGGGAGGGAAGGACCCTGCGCTCCTCGTGGCCTCGCTCGAGGTCCTCGAGGTCTTCCAGGCGCCCTCGCCGATGGCTGGAGGTCGGCCAGCCCCGGGATGCCTTCCTGTGGCTTCCCTTCGCAGGGAGAGTTCCGGGGGTGGCCGCATCGTCCCCGATGGCCGCCAGGGACCGTTGGCGGCGCGCACAGAGGGGGCAGGGGGGAGGGGGGAAGGATCTCGCGCCGTGAAGAAAAAAGCCACGACGGCAGATCTCCGGCGAGTTCCCGCCCCAGGGCCAGCAACAGCCGGCTCGGGGCGAGACGCCAGCGCCCAGGAGGAGGTCCAGACCCCTGATCGAGGAACAGAAAGCTGCATCAGCTGAACTTTCTTCTGGGCCCCCCGCGCGGGTCTCTTGGATCTGCGCTGTTCCGGTCCGGGAGAGCCGCGCGGGGCTCCGAAAGTTTAATGCTTGTGCCGTTTTGTTTGTTTTTCTCTCTGATGAGCCAGGGTTGATGGGCCTGTTTTCCACCACCACCACCACCATAAGTTGGAGGGGGAGGGGGTCCTCTTCCTCCTCCACCTCCTCCTCGTCCTCCTCCTCTTCCTCCTCCACCGCGTCCTTCACGTCCTTGCCCCCCCAACTTATGGTGGTGGTGGTGGAAAACAGGCCCAGCCAAGCTCAAGCACGCAGGCCGCTGGAGTCGCATGGGCACGCAGCGACTGGCAAACCGCACCAAAGAAGGCTTTCCAGAAAGGGCTTCGCCTTCGAGGATCGAAGGAGTTGCCAATCCCTTCCTCGGCGGAAGGCGGCGGAAGGCCAGCGGAAGGCGGTGAAAGTAAACCGAGGCCGCCTCCGCCGGCGCAAACAGGTGGAAGGCCGACGGAAGCCGGCCTCTCAAGAGATGGCAAGGGTTTCCGGCTCAGGGTTTCCGGAATTGGGCAAACGTTGCCTAGGACCAGGTCGGCCATGTCCTCTTACAGGCGTATTTTGGAAGAAAAATGAAAAATAACCCCAAAACAAATTCAAACATGGTCAAACATAGTCGATCAATCATCGCCAACGATTGCATTGATGATGCTGCTGATGATGATTATGATGATGCTGCTGATGATGATGTTGATGCTGCTGCTGATGATGATGCTGATAATGATGCTGCTGTTGCTGCTGCTGATGATGATGATGACGATGATGATATTGATGCTGCTGCTGCTGCTGCTGCTGCTGATGATGATGATGATGATGATGATGATGATGATGATGATGATGTTGATGCTGCTGCTGCTGATGATGATGATGGTGGTTGTGGTGGCGGTGGTGGTGAGGAGGAGGGGGAGGAGGAGGAGGAGGAGGAGGAGGAGGAGGAGGAGGAGGAGGAGGAGGAAGAAGAAGAGGAGGAGAAGGAGGAGGAGGAGGTGGAGGAGGAAGGGATGAGGGGGATGAGGAGCAGGAGGAGCAGGAGCATCGACAGCGGGAGCTGCAGACGGAGCGGCGCCTCCGCGAAGGCAATCTATGAGTACTACGCGACCGAGCTGGTGCAAGACAACAAAGAGGCTTCGAGATAGCCATGCATCTTGGGCACACTACACCAGCCTGGCAAGAGGATCGCCTCACTTCGACAGGCACCCTCGCAAAAGCTGTGTATGGGGACCCGTTCAGAGCGATACCCCCTCCGGCCTGCTTGCCGCAGCCCCTGCCCCAGATCGCAGGGGAAACGAGCCTCTGATGGCCGCTCCCGCCCGCCTTCGCGGACTGGGCGCGTGCAAGGCTACGACGCTGAAGTGCAGAGGGGAGGAGGAGGAGGAGGAGGAGGAGGAGGAGGAGGAGGAGGAGGAGGAGGAGGAGGAGGAGGAGAGGAAAACGAGGGGCATGCCATGGGGAGGGGTGGGTGGAGAACGGGCGAGGAGTAGGGGGAGGCTCAAGCGTATTCATTTTTGCCAGGGTGTAGAGATAATGGGCACTCACATTGCGGAAGTGGCTCGGGGTTCTTGTGATATTTCCGCAGACCAAGACACTAGAGAACATGTGGGCGCTGGCATATAACTATTCCGGTCGATATCCACCAAAAAGGGGGGTGCTGTTGCCCGCATTGTTGTGTCCCCGCGGGCTTCGCCTAGATCTGCCTGGGCCCCAAACCCTCGCGTCTTCGGCTCCCACTCCTGCGAGCAACGCCGACGTCGGGCACGTACTCCCTCGCGCATTCGTCGGCACCGTAGCCTTCGTCGCCGTCGTCGTCACCGTCGTCGTGGTCGTCGCCGTCGTCAACGTCGTCGACGTCGTCGTCGCCATCGTCCTCGTCGTCGACGTCGTCGTCGACGTTCTCGTCGTCGTGCTCGGCCGCGCCCTTCAGGTGTCCGGGGGCCCGGGGGTTCCGCAGGCCGCCACCAGGGGCCGGCCATGGCCGCCCTGAGCCCTGGGAGGGTGCGTAGTGGCTCTCCCTTGATTTTTGTTGTTTTCTTTTTTTTGTTTCGTTTTTTTTATTTAGTTTTTTTCTTGAGAACCTACTAGGGACATTCCAGTTCAAGAATAATCTACTAAGTTATGAAACTCAAAAAATAGTTATGCCTGCTCCGGGATTCGAACCCGAGTTAAAAGGATAAGGCGTTGTGGGCCCCACCTGGTGTGCACCGCCACCGCCTCCCTCCGGCGGCGAGCGAGGGGGGAAGTGCGAAGGAGGAGGACTGTTCAGAAGGCGGCGGGGCTTCTCAGAAGCCCGCCAGTCTTCTGAGATGTTTGTTTGACTGTTTTCGGGGAAAGCTTGGACAACTTCTCAGGAGGAAGGCCGGGGGGCTTCCGAGCCTTCTGAGAAGGCCCGCCCCTTGCCACTTCCCCCTGGGCTCACCGCCGATCCATTCCCCCTCCCTCCTCTACCCTCCTCTTCCTCCCGTCTGTCCTGGGAGAGGGAGGGGACGAGGGAGGTGGTGGTGGTCGTGTATATTCTTGAGCCCCGCAGGCGTGCACACCAGGTCAGGGTTAAATCGGGAGTGTCCCTCTACAGGAGGAGTATCCAAAGATAGTCCAAAAGTAGCCTGGGGACGATTTTTGGAGTGTCTTTTTGGGATTCTTTTTGTGGGATTCTTTTGGGGGTATTTCTGGGATGGTTTTGATTTCTCGTCCAAGATCCGCCTGTAAGGAGGCCATGCCCGAGCGAATGCCAGGGCCCAGGATGGCCCCAGCCAGCGCGCCCCCTGGCGGGAGCACGCCGAGCTGCCGCAGGAGCGCACGGCAGAGACCCCTGCGCGGCGCTGGCAGGAGCTCTGCGGTCGCGCTTTTGGAGGGGGGCCGGGCGGGCGCAGCGGCCGTGCACGTCGAGCGGGGCCAGGATTCAGTCGGGCCTGCCCCTCGACAGGAGGAGCACTCCAAAGCAGTAAAAAGATAGTCAGGGGACGATGTTGCGACTCTTTCCTAATTCTTTTTTGGGCATTCTTATTTCTCCTCCAGGATCCGCCTGTGGGGGGCATGCCCGACCTAGTTAAGCCTAAGATAAGGACGAGTCGTTCCAGAGCGTTCCAGACACGCTCTCAGAGCGTGCCGGAACGCTCTGAGAAGGTCGCGGCGCCCGCTACACCTTCCAGAACCGCCAGACTTCCGAGATCCCCGACGTACTCAAGCGGCTTATTACGCCGTGCCGCCGACCCCCCAGAAGGCGCGGGTGTTTGCGACGATCCTGGAAGTTGTCTAGTGGGCCAGGAGCTTCTGTGATGCATCCGAGGGGCTCGAGGGAGGCCTTCAGGGGCCTCTTCGAGGTCTCTCGGGGGGCATCTGGGGGGGCCTTCTTGGGGGCCTTCTCGGGGGCCTCTTGTGGGCTTCTTGGTGGCGCCTCGGAGGCATCTTGTGGCTCTTGTGGGCGCCTCGGGGGCGTCGAGGGCCTCTTGGGGCCATGTTGGGGAGAGAGGCTCGACATGTCAGTTCCTATCATTCGTTTTGGGCTCCTCTTAGGGCCCTCTTGGGGCTATCCCAGGCCGTCCTGGGGGCCCTTGCGGCCGTTTGGGGGCCCTCTCGGGCTGTTTGGGGCCCTCTTAGATGCCTCATGTGCCCTGTTGGAACGACCTTGGGCCGTCGTGGACGCTGCCAAGACGGACTAGTGGCCTTCGGCCCATCCCGCCATTGCGTGTGGGTTGTGGGTTAGAGCTCGGAGATGCTTCTTGGGGTCTCTTCGGAGCGCTCTCGGGGGCCTCTCGGGGGCAGCCTTGGGGCCTCTTTTGGGAGCCTCTCGGGGGCCCTCTTAGGGGGGGGCCTCTCGGGGGCCCTCTTGGGGGCCTCTTGGGGGCCATCTTGGGGGCCCCTCGCGGCCGAGGGCTCGAAGTGTCTGTTCGGGCTCCCCTACCTGGACCCCCTCTTGGGGCTGGATTTGGGCCTCTTGGGGCCCTCGCGGGCGTTTCTTGGGCCGTCCTGGGGCCGTCTTGGGCCGTCTTGGGGCCCGCTCGCAGGCCTCTTGGGTTGTCTTTGGGGAATCTTGGGGGGGCCTCCAGGGCCGTCTGGGAGCGTCGGGACGCCGAAAAGGCGAGAACTCCAAAACCTTCAAAACCAAAGGAAAACAGTGCTGGTGGTCTCTTGGGGCCCTTTTCGCCTCTTGGAGGCCTCTTGGGGCGTCTTGGAGGCTTCTTGGGCCGTCTGGGGACCACCTCGAGCGTCTGGGAGCCATCGTTTGGCGACTCGGGGCCCTCTTGGACCGTTCTGGGGGTCTCTGGGGGGCACTCGCCCTGGACACCTTCGATGAGTTCGAAGCCCCCCCCTCTCCACTGCAAGTCTAAGTCACGGGGGGAGGGGGACAGTAACTTCTGTCACACGCTTTTGCACCCCCAACAAGGGGGGGTCGGCGGATCTCTGTCCGATTTGGTCTATGTCCTGGCTTCCAGGGTTCATTTCGATCCGATCGATCCAACTCGATGCCGATTACGGCTGGCCCGGCCCGAGTCGATTCTGATATTCCGAAGATCCGATGCGGCCCAATGCCTCCTGCATGGCGCAGCCCCATCCGATTCGATTTCGACTCTGTGCCGATGCAGCCCGACCCGATGCACCTTGCGATTCGGTCCGATTTACCGAGTCGATGCTGACTGATCTTGGCCTCGCCTCAGTACAGATGCCTGCTGCGAGCCTCTCGGGGCCTCCTGGATGCCTCCTGGAAGCCTCTCGGGGCCTTCTCGGGACGCCCCCAGGGGGTCACTGGGTGGCTCTTGGGGCCATCGGGCGGGAACGGCTCGAGATGCCAGTTCGCGTGCCAGATCTCAGAGATCCTTAGTTTTTCCCTGCCTTGGCGTAGTGGTAGTACAGTTGAGACCGATGCCAAGAGACACCCTGCTTGCCTCCAGTGTGCCCTGAGTTCTTTGGTTTCCATGGTTTTGCCATGGAAGGCGTGACGCTCCAAGACCAAAAATCCAGGGACGTCCTGGGGTCTCAGGGTTGGGTCTCTTGTGGAAGGTTTCTTGTGGTCGGGCCCCCACTGTAGTTTGTCCCTGCCCTGGCTCCGAGGCGGGGATTTATCCATAACCACCGCCCGGGGCATCGATCTTCGCGCACTTCCACAGGCGGTGGATCTGGACATATTCGGGCCCCCGGGGGCCAGGATATATCCACATCCGCCGCCCGCTGGGGCGCCAGGACGTCGGTTCCCAGGCGGTGGATATGGACAAATCCCCGCCTCGCACTGGCGTCGTGGCAGTAGAGGTGCCTCCTCAAGGGCGCCCTCGAGGGCGCGAAGTTATTCGCGCTTCGCGCCTCGCGGTTCGGCTCCGATTCCTCCTCCTCCTCCTCCTCCTCCTCCTCTTCTCCCCTGGGAGGGGGCGCGAGAGCGCGAAGGTATTCGCGCTGCGCGCTCAGCGCGCAGCGCGAAGCGCGAAGCTGGGGAGCCCGTTGCTCCTGCGAGCAGGCGCCGCCCCTGGCCGGTGGGGGGCGCCCGGCCTGGCGCCGCCGTGGCGCCCCGCGCGCGCGTGGAGGCCCCGAGCGCCATCTGCCCGGCGCTCGGCAACATCTCGGCCAGGGAGGTCCCCCTCCGCCGCCCCGCCGCGTGCCGGCCTGAAGCCGGGCCTGTCCCTCTGCATCGGGGGCGGCAGAGAGGGGGGGGGGGGGCTAGGGGGGGGGGTGGATATCACGGCGGGGGCCCTGATATTTCCCCAGGTTTCATGGCGCCTCTTCTTGTTTCGTTACGTCCCTGGCCCCCCCGCTGGGCCTCGCACATGCCGCCGGTCATGATTTGCAGCCCCCCCTCTTGGACACCCCCCTCTTGGCCGCTCCCGATCCCCCTCGCCGCCCCGCCTCGTGCCAGCCTGCAGTCTGGCCTGTCCCTCTACAGGGGGAGTGTTAAAAGGTAGTCACAGAATAGTTTGGGGGCCATTGTTGGGAGCATGGTTTGCTTTCTTGGGGCGTACTTCTGGGGTATTCTGGATTTTTCGTCCAAAATCTTTTTGCAGGGGGACATACCCGACCTAATGCCAGCCATGACCCTCTCGGGCACTGAAAAAATCATGGCGGGAGGTTTTTCCGAGTTTTCGGCCTCTGGAGGCCCTAACCAGCCCTCGGGACCGTCAAAAGACCACTCAGTATGAGAAACGGGTCCTGGGAAACGGGTCGAGAATTTTTGGGGTCGACGCTATAAAATTACCCTTGCGAAGGACCCAACCATATGCAGCTGTGCGCACCGCAAGTGTGAGTATCTTCTTCGGTAGCGATGCCTAAGGGACCACGAAACGCATGAGGGCTGTGCTGGGGCCTTCGGTGGAGCTGCCTGTGGGGCGGTGGGCGCATTGGAACGCAGCCACTGGGGTCTTCGGTGGAGCTCCCTGTGGGGCCACGAAACGTGTGAGGGTTTTGCCGAACTGGGTGCGGTGGGCGCATGCGAACGCAGCCACTGGGGCCTTCGGTGGAGCTCCCTATGGGGCCACGAAACGTGTGAGGGGTGTGCCGAAATGGGTGTGGTGGGCGCATATGAACGCAGCCACTGGGGGCTTCGGTGGGGCTCCTTGTGGCGCCACGAAACGTGTGAGAGGTGTGCCGAAGTGGGTGCGGTGAGCGCATGCGAACGCAGCCGTTGGGGCCTTCGGTGGGGCTCCCCGTGCGGCCACGAACTGTGTGAGGGGTGTGCCGAAATGGGTGCGGTGGGCGCATGCGAACGCAGCCACCGGGGCCTTCGGTGGAGCTCCCTATGGGGCCACGAAGCGTGTGAGGAATGTACCGAAATAAGTGCGGTGGGCGCATGCGAACGCAGCCACTGGGGCCTTCGGTTGAGCTCTGTGGGGCCACGAAACGTGTGAGGGGTGTGCCGCAATGGGTGCGGTGGGCGCATGCGAACGCAGCCACAGGGGCCTTCTGTGGGGCTCCCTGTGGGGCCACGAAACGTGTGAGGGGTGTGCCGAAGTGGGTGTGGTGGGCGCATGCGAACGCAGCCACTGGGGCCTTCGGTGGAGCTCCCTGTGGGGCCGCGAACCGTGTGAGGGGTGTGCCGCAATGGGTGCGGTGGGCGCATGCGAACGCAGCCACAGGGGCCGGGGCCTTCTGTGGGGCTCTCTATGGGGCCACGAAGCGTGTGAGGGGTGTACCGAAATTGGTGCGGTGGGCGCATGCGAACGCAGCCACTGGGGCCTTCGGTGGAGCTCCCTGTGGGGCCACGAAACGTGTGAGGGGTGTGCCGAAATAGGTGCGGTGGGCGCATGCGAACGCAGCCACTGGGGCCTTCGGTGGAGCTCCCTGTGGGGCCACGAAACGTGTGAGGGGTGTGCCGAAGTGGGTGCGGTGAGCGCATGCGAACGGTGGAGCTCCCTGTGGGGCCACGAGACGTCTGAGGGGTGTGCCGAACTGATGACGATGATGATGATGATGATGATGATGATGATGATGATGATGATGATGATGATGATGATGATGATGATGATGATGATGATGATGATGATGATGCTGATGATGCTGATGCTGATGCTGATGCTGATGCTGATGCTGATGCTGATGCTGATGCTGCTGATGATGATGATGATGATGATGATGATGATGATGATGATGATGATGGTGGTGGTGGTGATGATGGTGGTGATGGTGATGGTGATGGTGATGGTGATGGTGATGATGATGATGCTGATGATGATGGTGACGGTGATGCTGATGATGGGGAGAGGGAGGGGGGGCAGCGGGTGGAAGGACGTGGGCGCTGTCTGTTCAAAATGAGGACCCAACACCACAGGATGGTTGAGACCAAACATGGCGTCGGGGGTCTGGGAGTACCGCCAGTTCTGTCACTAGGCCGCCCAGGTGAGCGATACAGAAAGACTGGTCGTCTTCACCGGCGTTGGCGCGTAGCTGTCCCGCGTAAGGTCGCGCGCAAGCGCCCTCGTTTCCAATGCGGCGTGCCTCGCTGGTGACCCGCGTACAAGCCACCGCAGAAGGTCGCTATATCATCTCTCTCAAGACCCGTCTGTTTTCATCGCCTAGGGGTCCGATCAGATGACGTCGTCGGAGGATCGCGCCGCCTCGCCGACGCATCGGCGACGCGGCTCGATATGGAGCCCGAGTTTCTCCACGCCGACTACGCTGATGCATCGCCGACGACGCGGCGCGATCCTCTGACCCCATCTACTCAGAGACCCCACCTGTGAGGACCCTATTGTCACCATCACCGCTAGAGATCCTGAGCCCCGCTGTCCGACCTGCCGGAAGAGGAGGAGGAGGAAGAGGAGGAGGAGGAGGAAGAGGAGGAGGAGGAAGAGGAGGAGGAGGAGGAGGAAGAGGAGGAGGAGGAAGAGGAGGAGGAGGAGGAGCAGGAGGAGGAGCAGGAGGCGGGAGGAGGGAGGGGAGGAGGAGGAGGAATGAGGAGGAGGAGGAGGACGGAGGAGGAGGAGGAGACAGGAGGACGGGGAGAGAGGAGGAGGAGGCAGGAGGAGGAGGAGGCAGGAGGGGGGAGAGGACGGAGGACGGAGGAAGAGCGAGGAGGACGGAGGAGTGAGGAGGAGCGGAGGGGCGAGGAGGCGGAGGAGGAGGAGGAGGAGGAGGAGGAGGGGGAGGAGGAGGAGGAGGAGGAGGAGGAGGAGGAGGAGGAGGAGGAAGAAGAAGAAGAAGAAGAAGACGACGAAGAAGAAGAAGACGAATAAGAATAATAATAATAATAATGATAAGCATAATAATACTAGTAATAATACTAATATTACTACTAATAATAATACTAAGAAGAAGACGGCGAATAATAATAATACGACGAACAATAATACGAATACTAAGAAAAAAATACTAATGATATTAATGATATTTTTGATAATACGAAGAAGAATACTCATACGAAGATGAATATTAATAATAAGAATACTGAGAATAATACTAATAATCATACTAATACTACTACTAATAATATTAGTAGTAGTAATAGTATTATTATTATTAGTAGTAGTAGTAGTAGTAGTA